CCCATGGAGGGATTAGAACTCAAACCCAGCCACATAACTTTCTACATACAATTTGTCCTGCCTCTAAGATGTGCTGGAGTATAGGAGACACAGAGCTTGTGGGAGTGGCCAACCAATGGCTGGTCCAGCTAGAGACCCTGGCTGTAAGAGTGAGCCCACCCTTGATAGTGCCTGGAGGGTCAGGACCAAGAGGCTGGACAGCCCAGAGACTTAGCTTCTGCAGAGACTGGAGGACTCTGTAAGCAGGTTTTCATGTCTGACTCTCACATGGACTCTAAGTCTTCATATGTATCAGAGTTTATAATGTCTGAGTAACGTGCAGAAGGGCTAGAGATGAATGAAGTTCTACATAGAGGGGATCACATCCTCCTGTCTCTCTGGTTCATCTCCTCTAGTTACAGTCTCTATATGGGGCCCTGAACCCTGAACATGAAGATTTCTGGGTCACCAGCTTACAGGGGACATGCCCTGATTGATCTCCTTTCAACACATACTATAAAACACAGAACCTGGCTAAAGGTCAAGGAACTGAATGAGACAAGGCATCATTACATACAAGTCAAATGCTCTACCATGTAGTCAAGCCCCAGAATGTCAGAAAATTTGAGAGTATTTGGTTGTTAGTGATGCTGTTTATATTTTAGAGCTGTGGTTTCAGTTGTAGAAAACAGATTGGTTTGAAACTCACTTTGCATATTATTCTGCTCCAAAACTCCCAGCCATCCTCCTGTCTCAGCTGGGGGTGTAGCTCAGCTGGTTTAGAGCTTGCCTATGCATCAAGCATCCCCTGGATTTGACCCCTTGCCCCCAGCTCCACATGACAGCAGCTGTGGTTGTTCATGCCTGTAATCCAAACACAAACATGGAGGAGGAGGGAGCATGTGAAGTTCAAGGTCTTCCTCGGCTGTAGTCAGAGGCCACCAGGGTAAGTGACATCCCAACTCACAACAGCAAAGGGCTAAAGACACTACAGGAACTCGAGTGGACCTTACTAAAGCAAGGACAGCATTGAAACAGGTGCCAAAGCTGTGCAAGAGGACGGCACCCAGTCTAAAGTGGTTGCTGGTCTGCAGAGCTGGGCCAAGGAAAAGAGGCAAAGAGGAAAGCTGTATCTGAATGTGAATTCAAGTGGTTCCAGTGGCTCAGGGGACCGTGCTATGCTGCAGTCCTGGGGCAGAGCTGGGGGTTCATTTTTGGAGATCTGGTGACATAAGCACCAGTGGTCTGGTGGCATAGATAGTGTGAAGTGCCAGGTGCCCCTCTTTACAGGATGCAGGGGAGGCTTACAAACTTTACTGATCTTCTGTAACATCTAATAACTACAAGGGCTGCCTTTCTGATGCAATGTTTTGTGTCAACCTCACCATTTCCTTCTGGTTCAATTAGCCAATCTCTTACATGGTAAACCCTAAGAGGTTGGAACACTTAGTTCTAGAAGTGATGTCTCCATGAAATCCTTCCTCCCAGGGATCGGGTACCCTGTGTAAATGAGAAAGAGTGTTAGAGCCAAAGGGGAGGGTGGACATCAGGAAACCTTAAACACAGCAGGACAGATTTACTGCAGCAGCGTGAACAGGACATGCATGGGTCTGCAACACATGGGGTGCTGGTGTTGAGAGAAGTGGACTCAATCTCCGACCTCTGACTCCAGAAGCTATCTCCAATTGACAAGGATGACAAATGAAAACTTAGTTCTTTCACGTAAAGACACACACCTTATAGGTCCTTTCCTTACATAACATGGCTACCAACTTTGTGTTTTATTGGGTTTCCTGTGTGTGAATATGTCCTACATCTATGTGTGTTCCTCATGCTCTTTGTGTAGTTCTTTGTCCTCTGTTATTTATTTATTTTTAACTTATTCCAATTTCTGTTCTGTTCTGTTTGTTTGTTTGTTTGTTTGTTTGTTTGATTTGAGAAAGAGTTTCTCTTGTAGCAGCCTTGGATGTCCCATCTCATTTGGAAGCTAGTTTCTTGAAGCCTGCACCCCAACTCTGGTTCATCATTCATTGTTTTTCTTTGCTTGATTAATATATTTGTGCATCTGTGTGCTGGAGTGCTGAGAGGAGAGAGTGCTTGCTGAGGTGGGAGACCTGGAAACCATAGTCTTCTCTCTCGGTCCACCTGGTGGCTTCTTTATTGAAGTCAGGCTCCCACTGAGCCATCTCACTGGCTGCTAAACTTCATAAAATTTTTTCTTTTAAAAAAATTTTGAGCCAAGCCTTGGTGGTGCATGTCTTTAATCCCAGCACTTGGGAGGAAGAGGCAGGTGGATCTCTGTGAGTTTAGGCCAGTCTGGTCTACAGAGCAAGTTCCAGAACAGGATCCAAAGCAATACAGAGAAACCGGTCTCAAAAAAATGGAAAAAAAAAAGATTTAAATAAATAAAATTTAAAATTTGTTTAATTTTTGGTTTCCAAGAGAAGGCTCCTCTCTCTGTAATCCCTGCTATCCTAGAATTTCCTCTGTAGTCCCAGATGTCCTCCATGAATGATCCACCTAAATCTGCCTCTGAATGCTGGGATTAAAGGCATGGCTGACACTACCCAGCTTACAATAATTTTGAAGGCAGATCCTCATTCTGTGTGCCTGACTGGATTAGATTGGCTACTTAGATAAGGCTAGTACTGAACTACTGAGAACCACCTACCTCTGCCTCCCAAGTGTGGGAATTAAAGGCAAGTGTATCATTCCTTGTACTGATTCAAACTTTCTTTTTAAGATTCACACTAGGTGTAGGACTATATTCCCTGCATGTATGAATGTGCAAGCATGTATGTCTGGTGCCCAAGAAGGTCAGAGGGGGCTTCAGATCTCCAGGAACTGGAGCTACAGATCCTTTCAGTCACCATGTGGGTGCTGGGAAGGAAAGGTTGACAGGTGCTCAGTAATGCTGAGCCACCCTCCAGCCCCCAGGTCCCACTCCTGACTTCATGTCCTTGAGCAAGTGTGCTGGTCTGAATGGTCCTTCTGAAGCATCCTTTGTATCTGGGGACCAAGGGTGGCATCATGGACAAAGCAAGCTTGTTGTTGTTCTGCTCATTTTTGGAAAGCAGGTGCACATGGCTCAGGCTGTCCTTGAGTTCACAATATGGCTGAAGATGACTTTGCGCTGATCCTCCTGCCTCCAGCTCTGGAATTCTGGGTCACAGGCATGCCCCAGAAGGGCTGCTGCAGTTAGGGCAGGGCAGAGGGCTCAGGGAAGCTGGGTAGGACTCAAGGAAGTGAGTGCATCCCCAATGCTCTGACCACCACGTTGATGAAATCAAGCCATCCTCCTGCCTTGCCCTTTGAGGAGTTGCTACTTCAGTCTATTGACGGAGCATCCAGTTCAGGCCTTGAGCTCCAGAACGTATTTCTGACTGACTAGGTGTTTGTCCTAGGGTCCATGGGCAAAAATATTTTTGAACAATTTTTATGTCTATTATGAGCAACAGATTAAATCCCAAACTGACTGAAACTCACACTGACTTTGGCCAAATGAATCAAATTCATTGTGGTGATTCATAAAAGTAATCCTAGAAAAAACTATGCTGGAAAGGAAGATTCCTAGAGTAGAGTTCCAAAACAACCTTAGCTTCAGATCAAGATCCAGTGACTGTAACAAATTCAAAACTAAGTAATAAATAACCCAATGAGGAACAAATTACCAACTCAGTGTTCTATAGTTAATTAGCAAGTGGACTGTTTATATTTATTCAGACTTAGAGGGACTGCTGGAGGGGAGTTTCACACTTCATTTGATCCAATTGAGGAAATGATTGCATGTTATCTATAGATTCAAAATGGTGCACACTGAACTAACCAATCACATAGAAGCTTGGAGTTGGAAGGCGGGGCTGCAGCAGGGAGGGTGAACAGAAAGGTATATAAAGGCTTCAGGAGAGACCCCAAAGTCTCTCAGAGACATGAAGCTGAAGGAAGTACATGGCTCAGCTGGGAGAAAGGGACCTGTCCTAAGTGCTCAGAACTGGTGAGTAACTCTCGTCCCTTGGGTCTTGCAGTTTGATGTAGGGTCTTTAGACCCAAGAAGGGACAGGAAATTTGGGTTTCTGTCTCTTCAGGATAACAAACACGCTGAAGACACTGGGTTTGATTCTAAAGGAAGTTTTACCTTTATCTCAAATGTCTCTCTATGATAGCTTGTTGATCTCAGTGTGATTGTTGATTGTTTTGAGACAGGGTTTCCTAAGTTCAAACAGCCCAAAACTGTCCCCAGAATTCTGGGTAGCATGGAAATGAAGGCTATCTAGTCTCAGGGTGATGAGGTCACTAGCATGTTCCCTCATACTGGGCTACCTTCAAAATGGTGTTTTTGTGGAATAAGGACCAAAGCACACCCAGACAGCACACAGACTTAGGTAGCTGAAATTATATTGAGTGATATCTATATTCAGGCTTTGGTTTGCATCTTTTTCAAATAACTTCACTTTTTATTTTTTGTTTGATGTGGTTTGGTTCTGTGACCCAGCATACCCCGAAAGCTTCAGGAACACTTTGCCAACATCCTCCTCAGAAGGAATTAAACTAACCATTGAATCACAACACAAGGCTTTTTGTTTGTTTTGATTTTTGCTTTATTTGTTTTGGTTTGGTTTTTCTAGACAGAGTTTCTTTGTATTGCTTTGGAGCCTGTCCTGGAACTAGCTCTGTAGACCAGGCTAGCCTGGAACTCACAAAGATCTGCCTGCCTCTGCTGGGATTAAAGGCGTGCAACCAAAACCCAGACAAGAGGTTTGTTTGTTTGTTTGTTTGTTTGTTTGTTTGTTTGAGAAAATGTGACTCATCAGGTATTTTGACTTGGAATTCATGAGCCCATTATGGGATGGAGAGGCTCACTGGTGGCAGTGAGGGAGTCTGTCTACCCACCACCAGTGAGGACTATGGTTTCAGTTGGTGTCTGTGCCATTGCCAGAGCGATAAAACTGTGACCTTGAGCGGTTGCTGTGCTGGGTGAGGAAGTTTTCTAAAGTTTGTCCTGAAAATATGTTCTTCCCTGAATGCTTCCCCAGGACCTTTGCGGTTTGCGACTGCAGACGCTTCATGATGAGTGTTCAGACCCCAGGCACGCTCATGAAGCAGGCAATGCAGGCTCTGCTGAGAAATGAGGACTTGGCCATCTCTGCTCTGGACCAGCTGCCCATGGAGCTCTTCCCGGCACTGTTCAAAGACGCCTTCAAAGGCAGACACACTAGGGTTGTGAAGGCAATGGTGGCAGCCTGGCCTTTCCCCTGCCTCCCTGTGGGGACACTGATGAAGACCCCCGACTTGGAATCCTTCCAGGCTGTGTTGGATGCAGTAGACATGCAGCTGGCAAGAGAGTTTCACCCCAGGTAAGCAAGAACCAAGTAGTGTAGACTGGAGCCCTTGGGTACAGGCAGACGAGACCCTGGGCTCAGGGAGAAGGGCCCTGGAAGTGGCTCAGAGGCTTCTGATGGGCTCATCGTGCAGGGAGGAGGGGCCTGGAAAGCTACTGATTCCTTGAGGTAAGGATCATGGAGCAGGGATTAGAGCTTAGAGAAGATGGGGTCAGGGTGCACTGAGCCGGTCCCTGGAATCCCACAACCACTAATAATGGGACTAGGTAGAGACAGAGTGACTGAGGGAGGGAAAGCAGTGGGGTCTACAGATGCAGCCCAGCGGGAGCTCGCATAGCACACATGCCATCCCAGGTGACTTATACCTTGGCAGGGGGGAAGAGCTGGCATTAGGGATGTGTAGTGAAGCTGCCTCGCCGACCTTGGGTCCTGTCGTCGTGTCTGCTGACACTTGACACGTTTTACCCCCAGGAGGGAGAAAATTAAGGAGCTCGACCTCAGGAAAGTACGCCATGACTTCTGGACCATATGGCCTGGAACAGAGGATGCGGACTGCTCATCAGAGACTGGGGATGAGGAGAAAGTAGTGAAGGTCCTTCCCAGATGTGCAGTGAGGCGGCGTCTAAAGGTCATAGCTGACCTCTGCCTCAGAGTCCGACTGGACGAAGAGCAAGCATATTTCCTGCAGTGGGCGCAGCGCAGGAAAGGCTCCCTGCAGCTCTGCTGTGCCAAGATGAAGATCTGGGCTCTGCCTCTACGTACTGTCAAGGACATCTTGACTGTTTTCCATCCATGGCACATTGAGGAACTGCAACTGAACATGGGCTGGGACGTGTCCACTCTGGCACGTTTTGCTCCCTACCTTGGCCACATGAGAAATCTTCGCAAACTCTCCCTGGCACGCATCTACAAGAACAAAATCCCAATTGGCAACAGGACAGAATACAGAGAAGACAAGTGTGTCAGGAAGTTGGTGTCTCAGTTCTCCAAACTGCACTGTCTGCAGCATCTCTCCTTTACTGCAGTATGTTTTCTTAGACATCACATAAAGCAGATCCTCAAGTAAGCAAGGATCGAGAGCTGGGTCAGCTACCAGAGCAAACCTTGCTCTTTAACTTTGCTTTAAGGAGTAGTGAGTGGATGGATGGTGCCTGCCTGTCACTGGGTTCAGTTATGGTGAAAGCTGGGGGTGTGGTTTCACACAGTAGACTCTGCTTCATTGTTCATATGTTCAAACTGAGCTTGGGTCATGCATCTTTCTCTTTGTGAGCCCCAGGGTACACACTCTTGGCTTGTACTAACTACTTTGTTTATCCCTAGGTGCCTGAGGAACCCCTTGGAGACTCTCTCCATCAATGGCTACCGCCTGTCACAGTCAGACTTGAATTGTTTCCCCTGTTGCCAAAGCCTGAGTCAGCTCAAACATCTGGACCTGAGAGGTATGGTCTTATGGCCTTTAGATCCTATGCCTCTCCGACTTCTGCTAGACAATGTGGCACACACTCTTCAGTCCCTGGACTTGCAGGGTTGTAGGATGGAGGACTCTCAGCTCACTGTCCTCATACCTGCCCTCAGCCGGTGCTCCCTGCTCACCAAGGTCAACTTGTACGACAACGACTTCTCTGTGCCCATCCTGAAGGACCTTTTGCTGCACACAGCCAACTTGAGCAAGATGAATGAAGAGCTTTACCCGGTGCCTGTGGACTGCTACAATGACCTTGGTTACATGATCCGTGAAAGATTCCTTCACCTTTGTTCTGAGCTCATGGATACACTCAGGGCCAAGAGGCAGCCCAAGAGGATCATCTTTGCTACAAGTAGCTGCCATAAATGTGGTGTGCGTTGTGTCTATGACCTTGGGCCCATACTTTGTTCTTGCTTGCATTAAATAGGGAACATGACTTCCAGACTTGGGTGCTCTCCCTCTGGGCTTTTCCTCAGTCCTTAGCCGCCCTGCTAGGCTCAGGGTCTAGAAAGTCTCCCTCTCATCAGGCTTCAGGGATCTACTGAACCAAGGAACTGGATTTGAAGTCGTCAGTTGTGATCTTTTTATTAACTGGGTTTTTTTTTTAAACTCTCCCTATGCCTACCCATTGCATTCTCAATTTTCTGTACGACGAAGCAGCAATAAAATACTTGTGCATCACACTTTTCTTCTGCCTTGGTATCTTTCCTAAACACGCACAGTGATGGTCCTCTGCTTAAATTCCATTAGTGTTGTCTGGCTCTCATCCCTCCAACTGATTGTAAGGACTCTGGACAGACAAAAAAACAAACAAACCAAAACAAAACAAAAAAACAAAACACAAAAAACAAAAAAAAAAAAAAAAAAAAACCAGGAATGGCTCCATGTCTACAGTAACACTATTCCAAATTGGGGAAGGTAGATACAGTTGACTGCTATTGTGTCCTTCATATCTGGGCAAGCCTGGTAAACACACACACACACACACACACACACACACACACATACACACACACACCCAGAGAGAGAGAGGCCAACCCAAAAGCCAGTGGGATGTCCAAAGTTGAATAGCACAGGCATGGAATTCTCTCTGAGGGTTCAAATTCAGTTTCCTCTACCCGCCTCAGGTAGCTCACACCTGCCTCTAATTTCAGCTCCAGATGATGGAATCTGAATGGACACCTGCATTCAACTGCATGAATCCACACCACACATTTATGCAAATGCGACTACCTACACGAAATTGAATTAAAAGCAAAGTTTACAAATGAAACTAACCTAGTTACAACAGAGGTAAACTCAGCGGTGGGTGCTTGCCTGGTGCCTGTGAGGCCCTGGGATCTGCATTCAGCTTTTCATGGTGCAAGAGTACATGGAGCGAGAAGCTGAGGGTCAGCTCAGTGCTGAACACTTGCACAGCTTGCATTTGGCTCCTGGGTTTGCTCTCCTGCACCATGGAGAATCTAAAGATGATGAGGGCTGTGACACAAAGTACTTGTAGATAAAGAGTCACACGGGTCATCTTCTGGTGTGTATCTCACATAAACAGTACTATTTAAGTGTCATCTTTCAAGTTTTAGGTTTCACATGTATTTGTTTCTTTCTTTTTTCCAAAAGCATGCCACTCACTACGTAGCCCTCACAACAATTCCTGGGTCCCCAGCTTCCTGAGATGTTCCTCACTTGACACTGCTTTCCCAGTATACAAGAGTCCTTCAGTTGGATCTGTAAAGTCTATCAAATGGGGCACAGTAGTGCTACTGTAATCCCCCCATTCTGGAGGTAAAGACAGAGAAGCAGAAAATCAGTGTCATTTTACATACATAGTGTTTCCAGCAGTTTTCCTGGCCATCCTGGTCCCACAGGGAAATACTGTATTAAATATAAAGCTGTTGGGCTGTTACTAGAGTTTCTCTTTGTAATAGCACAGGGAAATACTGTTTCTCTGGCTGGCAGCTGCCTGGCTTCTGATATCAGGGTTATCTCTCTATTTTCTCCTCTCTCAAGCCTAGATTTCTCCTCTTACTTATTCTCTTTGCCTGCCAACCCCACCTACCCCTCTCCTGCCTATCTGTTGGACACTCAGAGTTGGTAAATCAGCAATGCATCTCATCATAATTAAACCTATGCAACATAAACAAATGTAACACATTAACACATCTTTACATCATTAATAAACATAGCATAAACAAATGTAACACATCTTTGCCTAGTTAAAATAATATTCTACAACAGGGCTTTGCTGTGCTCTAGTTGTGGAGACCAATACTCTGAAAATATCTCTTCCATTCTAAAAGCCTGGGATTGTTTGCAGGGCTTCAAGTCAAAGTTAATAATACACCTTGAGTTCACTTAAGAGTTAAGACTGCCAGCCTACTGTTAACTGTTTTTTTAACCTGCCTTAAGAGAACAATGTAGTTTTAAGTTAATTGTCAATCTGAATAATTACATAATTAAACAACTAAGTTCCTATAACTTTTCAACTTTCAGTGAACTTTGTTATATGATTATGTTCAATTTCCATGCATTAAAAAGTATCTTTATTATTATCTGCACATACAACCATTATATCTGGGAAATTAAAAAAAAAAATATTTTAACTTCATAAAAAGAGAACAGTGTAACAATCACCATTACTTGCCTTGGATTTCCCATGGAACCAACTTGTAAAGCCTAGACAATCTTTTCTTTTTAATTGAGAATAAATCTTTTTTCTCCTGTAATATATCCTGATTACAGTTTCCCCTCCCACCATTCCTTCTAGATTCTCCTCCCCTCCACCCCACCCTAATCCACTGCCTTTTTTCCTCTCTTTAGAAAACAAACAGGTTTCTAAAATAAAATATAAGACAAGCAAAAGCTAACACATCGCAATGGGACAAATCAAACAAACAGGACGAAAAAGAGCCCAGGGGAGGTCAAAAGAAACTGATAGAGATGCAGAGACCCTCTCATTCACACACTCGGGAATCCCATAAAAACAGTAAATTGGAAACTGTACCATATACACAAAGGACCTATTGGGTAAAAAGACAGAAAAAAAATGTAAGTAGAAAATTTTAAACTAAGATAACTTTTTTAAAGCCTTGACTAAGTATTATTAGACAAGGAACCTTCAAAGATGCCGAGCTCCTTTTCTGCTGGCCATCTGCTGCTGGGCATGCCCCCTGCCCTTAAGAATAGTTTGTTTCCCCAATGAGACTCCCATGCAGAAAAATAAATTTTCATTGGCAAGTGGTTGTAAATTGGAGATAGTTGCTGGTCTAGGGGTAGAGGCTTTTAGCTAGAGAACCACCCTGATGCAGACCCACGCAGGCCCTGTGCATGCTGTCTTAGCCTCTGTGAGTTCAAATGTGCATTGGTCCTGCTGTGTTTAGAAAGCCTTGTTTCCTTGGTGCCCTTCATCCCCTCTGGCTCTTACAATCTTTGCACCCTGCACTTCCACAGGGTTCCTTGAGTTCTGAGTGTTCTAAGGTCTCTCTGCTTATTGTCTGGCTAAGGGTCTCTGTATTCATTCTCATCTACTGCAAGGAGGAAGCTTCTCTGATGATGACTGAGCAAGACACTGATCTATGACTATAGCAGAATGTCATTAGGAGTCATTTTACTGCTATATTCTTTTAGTAGAACAACAGTGTTTGCTTTTCCCCTAGGTCCCTGAGCTGTTTAGTGACAGGTTCTGGGTCACCCAGGCAGTGTGGGGTGAGTGGTCCTTCAGTCAAATCAGATAGCACATGGTTACTCTCAAAAGCTTTTGCCAACATTGCCCTAGCATATGTTTTTGGTTTGGGTTTGGGTTTTCTTGTATCTGTCAAGACTTGCATCGGGTCCAGTATTGGAGAAAGTCCCATGAGGTGCTCAGAAGGAAAGCATGCACTTTTGTGTCTGGGTGGAATGTTCTGTAGAGACCTGTTAGGTCTGTTTGGCTACTCCAGCACTTCTGAGTTTAGTTTTTGTCTAGCTGACCTGTCTGTTGGTGAGAATTCGCCCACAATCACTGTGTGGCAATCAGTATGCGATTGTAGCTGTACTAGTATTTCTTTTATGAACACGGTGCCTTTGTGTTTGGTGTATAAATATTAGGAAGGAGCACACAACTCATCCTCACTAAGAAGTCCCACCCACCTGGACGTCTGATGAGGTGTCTAGGTATACAAATCCTACCCCAGTTAATCTTCTGCTTCATGAATTATGTGAGATCTTGGTTCAGTTAACATGGAAAGATTGAGCCCTCACTATTCCAACAACTGTCAGAGTTTGTGCCACAGTGACCAACAGACATCAGGTGCCTGCTAATCCTGAATGTAAAGGAGAAAGTTCTTCTCTGGTATCAGAAACAGCTCTCCATCCTTCCTTACCGGAGCACCTGTATGTTCCGGTCACTGAGAAAGTTATTGTTTGATCATTTAATTGTGTTCTGACAAACAAGCTTGCTTGGATTCTTGGGGCAGAGCCAGCCACTAGCTGACCATAGAGGATTGCAGGACTGTTGACAGAGAGCAGACAGGAAGTGGTAAGTCAGGGTTGAGAGAGGATCTTGGTCCTTTTGGATGGAGGGACAGGAGAGGAAGACAGCAGCTGGTAGCTGCCCCCGTCTGATCTTTCAGGCTCTTGCCCTGATATTTGACTCTTGATTTTTTTTTATTGAAAATGATTAATTAGATTAACATTTCATAAAGTAGACACCAGTCATGTAGACAATTGAATGTGGAATGTTGGGAAACAGACTTGGGGATACACTTTGCTGTACCTATTGTATTTCCAGTCTTGGGCTGTCACTGTGGATCCATGTTAGAAGGAAATTTTGAAAATTTCTCATCTGGCTGAGGCAGGCTCTAGACATTCCATGCTGTGTTCAAATCCAACTCTTAGATGTACTCTAAATGGAAACCCTCTAAGAACTCAATGATGTTTACTGCAATGATATAGCTTCCATTTTTCAGAGCACAGCTAAGGGGAACTTTTTGCGCTAGACCCATTACAACAAGCATATTCAGTATCCATCAAGACAGAAGTAGACACAAAGGTCAGCTACCACTGCCAAACAGTGGCTTGATGGTTATCTGGGAAGAGTGTTCACTACTTGCTCTTCACTCATTGTCCCTGTTGAGCAGCCCCCTCCCATGTTCCAACCACATGTTCCAGATAATATCGTGGGACACATTCAGCAAATAGAGTACTAGAAGTTTTCAGGTCCTGTACGTAATGGGTGAAATTTCACCTGGCAGTCTTGACTATACACATCTAATATCAGCTCTTCCCTGCTGTGACGTCAATCTTGTCAATGTATTTGTTTTCCCAGCACGGTCCCTGGCAATGGCTCTCTCTGAGCTGCATCAATAACCCTCTGTCTTGCTTCCCTCCACTTAGTTACTCTTGACCTGGTACAACTAGTGCCCAAGGGAAGACAGGGACAGGCTCCT